GATTATAATGAGCATACCAAGAATCAATTTTGTTTTTATAAAATAAAAAGTCCTTAAGATGGGTTTCTAATGAAAAAAAGCGTCACTGGCTTGTACAAATGCTTAGCATGTTCAGCTGCTAGCCAAAAGGTTGGGAGTTCAGGTCTACCCAGAAGCACCTTGGAAGAAAGACCTGGCAATTTGAAAAGAAGTCAGAGAAAGCCCTGCACAGTGTAGCTCTTCTCCGACACATGTAGGGTCGCCATACATTGGCGCTGACTCTGCAGCAACTGGGTTTTCATCACGAGGTGGAGGAGTTGGCAGATTGTGCTTACAAGTCACCTGCCCTGAGCCAGGTAGAGCAGTGTACAGATGCTATTCAGTACCCATTGAGCAGAGGGTGCATTGAGCACCATGGGCCCTCGTGGACCCTCCTGGACTAACTCTGCTCTTTGCATTCTTCCTAGATGTGGAGTGGACTCAGTGGTTCAATCAAGATAAAGTGTCTCAGACCAAAGGTGGAGAGAAAATTTCCGACCTCCGGGCAGCTCACCCAGGAAAAATCTGCAACCGCCCCATTGATATACAGGTACCACACTCACACTCCTAAAATCAGGTCTGTCTTTGGAAGGAGATTTGATAGATCACAAATGTTCTTGTCATGGAATGACTTCATTGTCAGGGTTTTCCTATGAGGTCAGCAGGACTGAAACAGAGATATCTGCGCCTGGCGTCATGGTTAGCGAATCCCAAAGCTAAGAATCAGCGTCATTCCTGATTCTTAGTTCAGAGTCTCTTTTCTTCAATCTGCAACTTCAACAATGGCTCCGAGAGCTTCCCCACTCTTCCAGACTCAGACTACCAACTGACTGCCTCAGCTTTCTCCCGCCCAGCGGCGGGTGGGTTTTAACTGCCAACCTTTTCGTTTGCAGCTTGTTCAATATCATAGGGCTCCTTCAATATCATTATGTTCTCCGTGAGTTGGGGTCATTATGAGTTGAAATTAATTTGACAACACCCAACAAAAACACATTTTATTGTTATTAATTATCATCCACAACAATAAATTTGTGTCCATTTCCCTAGATGGTGATA